GCCAACTCAACAGCAACAACAATCATTTGAGGGTAGAATAGATAGATGCTGGGAAGTTGCCACCATGGCACACTGGTCCAGGAGAGGGATGAGGTTTGAGCCGCCATGGGGTTGGATTCATCTGTGGGTCCTTCATTCCATGTAGCCCCCAGAGGCCTTACTGATAGAAAGGAGGACTGCTGGACCATCTCCATTCCCCCTCTGGATCTGAGCCTCCCACCTTCCCCAGAAGCCAAGGCCTCAGCGTGAAAACCAAAATAACATTGTTTTATTCCAGTTGTGATGCACAGCAATCCAGACAGTTCCCTGTCTCCACTGGAGAGCCTCCACCCCAACCTGCCAGTCATCCATAGAAGGTGAGGGGGCTCCAAGCCTCCAGGCTTTGGAGAAAAACCAGAATCACCCCCCTCCTTGATATTTCACTCTCTGTCTCCCGTATCTTTTGTCTTGCTTCCTTTTTTGTCCCCTCTCCTCCATCCTGGTCTCTTCTCCTTCCCCCCTACTCTTCTGCCTCCCCCTTCCCACTTACCCCCATTTCTGCCCCTTCTCTTGTCCTCTCTCCTCCCATTTTTGTTTCCCTCTTCTATCTTTTCTCCCCTTATCTCTCTTTCACTTGTCTTATTCTATGCTTTCTCCCTTGTTTTTCCCTTTGCCCCCTCCATTCCTTAAAACTGACCAGTCCATTCCTGCACTTTCCTCTGCCCTGACACTCCCCATATCCTGTGTCCTTCCCGAACCTCCAGCATTCTCACCACCCCGCCCCCAGCTCTGCCCCTTTTATTCCTTCTGCTGTGACCTGCCCCCGTCTACACCTCTCTTCACACACTTCCTCTCCAGATGGAAGCCATCTGAATCCACCCTGGCCTTCACCCTCCTCCGAAGCTGTGGTGTCAGGACCTCAGAAGGCATTGTCAGCTTCCCCTCTGATCCACAGAGGCAAACTGCCAAGATGAGGTCCCTGGATGCCCCAGGAGGTGGCCAGAGGGACTGGGGTGGTCTCCTTGGCCTCAGCCCTGTTATCTTTGGGATCGAAGGATGCCCTCTTGCCCTCACCTTGGAGGGTGGCGGGCAGGTGCCTGAGGGGTTAGGGCTCTGGGGCTGTCCCCCAACAATCCCTGAGCAGGTCCATGTGGAATAAAGCTGCCCCAGTGAGGAGGCGCGCTGCGAACAGGTGGCGGCAAGGCAGACGCCAGGCAGCGTGGATGGAGCAGCTGCAGCGTGTTAGGGCTACGTCCAGGAAGAAGTCCGAGGTACCGTCCTTGATGGCAAAGCCAGCTCCTGTCCAGCGGAAACCCCGGGTCCCGTGCTGCCTGGCGAAGGTCAGCTCCTCGGCCACCAGGTCAGCCAGCTCTGGCCCGCAGGCTGCTCGGAATTTGGCCAGGGGTTCCCAGTCCACCTCCTCCTCTCCTGAGGGGCGGCACAGCCTGTTTGGTTCCCCGGGGCCTTCTCTTTCGCCTCCGTCTGGCAGGCTTTCCCCCGCGGCCTGGTACACTCTCCTCGTCACTGCCCATTCGGGATCCCCCTCAAACACAGCCCCCACAGGCGTGCCACACATGACTCCATTCCCCAGCCCTGGATGCCCCCCTCCTGTGTCCCCCCACCCCATTCCTTGTCCTGCTCGGCTGTTGGGGTCCATAGGCCAGGCTTCTCCTTCATCTCCATTCTCCAGGCCTGGAACCCTTGTGTCCCCTAGCTGGACCAGAACGATGTCCTCCAGGCCCCTTCTTCTTTTGACCCCCAGTCGCACTCCCCTCTCTTCTCCAATCTCTGGCCCTCTCCCCCTCTCATCTCCCCACTTGGGGCCCCTTTGGTCTCCGTTCTCAGGGACCAGCTCCTGAGGCTTTTCCAAATGAACTCCCCTCCAGTTTTGGACCTCCAGCGCCCTCCCCTTCTCCCCTTCCAGCTGCAGCCCCTTCCAGTCTCTGGTTTTCAGGCCACTGGCCCTTTCATCCTGCAACTGGGCTCCCCTCCAGGTGCTCCCCTCTAGATTCCTGGCCCTCTCACATGGGTTCCCCCTGTGGTCTGTGCTCTCCAGCACCCTGATCCTTCGCTCCTCCAACTGGGCCATCCTCCAGGCATACTCTTCCAGCCCTCTTAGCCCCTGCTCCTCCAGCTGGGCCCCTCTCCAGACATAACCTTCCAGTCCCCAATCTTTCTCATCCCCCAACGGGCCCCCCCTCCAGTCTCTGATCTCGGGCCCTCTCATGCGCTCATTCTCTAGCGAGGCTGCTCTCCAGACACTCCCTTCCAGTCCTCTCACCTTGGGGGTCTCCAACTGGAGCCCCCTCCAATCTCTGAGGTGCAATCCCCTCCCCTTCTCACTTTCTAACTGGGCCCCTCCTCCGCCTCTGGTCTCCAGTTCTCTCACCCACTCCTTCTCCAATGGGGCCCCTCCCCCGTCCCCCGTCCCCAGGCCCTTCGTCCTCTCGCTCTCCACCTGAGCCCCTCTCCTCGGCTCGCCCTCCAGCCACGGCCCCCCGCCGTCGGGACCCTCGGGCGCTGCCTCCCCGGTCGCGTCAGCCCACTGCATGGCCACCAGGTCACGGAGGCACTGCGCCACGCTGCGCGACGGGCTGAGGCGGCGCAGCAGGCGCCGGCGGTGGCTGCGCACCAGGGCGCACGCGTCCAGGTCGCGGGCCGCCTCGAAGGCGCGGAAGCGGACCCACATGTCGCGGCGCGGCGCCCAGTTGCGCTCGAAGTAGTCGACGAAGGCGGCCGGGCCGTGCGCGCGCAGC